TCCGCTTCCATTTTAAAAACCTTAAATTCTTCATTATTTCTCATATATTATTATTACAACTAGTATAATATTTAAAATTAATAAAAATAATCTACTAGTTTCTTAAAATTAACATCTGGAAATCAAAAATTTCACTAAAAGTTAAAATAACATCAGGATTTAATTCCAAATTGATTATATTAAAAATTATGAATGGATCAGTCTTTTATTTTGTGATATACTATTTAACTCTAAGTTGTTAAAAACAAGAAAAAATTAAATAAAATTTATCTTAAATTACAATGTTTGAACTTCATTTATAGCTAATGTTGCTATGAAAAGTTTCCCTTACTTTAATTAATTAAGGATAAACTGTTTCTATTTAATATCTTTTAAAATTTTTTCACATCATTTTTTTAAAATCTCTTAGAAATTGTCATGTATTTTGACATATTGCATTATAAATTATTTAAATCATAAACATTCAAAATGTTATGGAAATACAGTAGAGCGTCGATTTTCCGAATCAATTGGGGACTGGGGTTGTCCGGATAACTGATATTTCGGATAACTGATTTACGTACGAAAAAATAGTTTAACGTATCCGATGTCAAAATTTTTCTCCATTGCGTGTCGCTTCGCGTTGAATTTTCGTCGATGTTAAGCCTAACGAAGACTATTGTTTCGTTAAAAATTATTTTTATGTTTATTTTGTTTGTACAAAATAAATATATTGAAAAATATAAAAATAATAAAAAATTATACTTCAGATGTTAATTTAGTATCAAAAACGTAAAATATTTGAGTAGCCGAAGACATAGCCAAAGATTACAGCGCCACAGCACTGGCGAAAATTTAAATTTGCCGACTGGAATTCTTTCGGATGATTGACTTTCGGAAAATCGACGCTCTACTGTAACTTATCAAAGCATTTTTAGGAGGTCACTTAGATAAAAGCATATTAAAAGAAGATATCATCTTATATCAAAAAATTAAATACTATATACAAAATAATATCATAATGAATTTTTAAATGGCTCAAAATCTTGGAATAAATATATTGATAGTATAGAAAATAATAATAAAATTTTTGAAACTGAAAACAATAGATTGTGAATGTAAGATGGACTTTAAATTTCATTAATAAGAAGTTTTTATTTAGGCTTTTCATCCTTATGTAATATTGATAAATTATTTATGAAATATTTTTATCTCTCAAATATTTAATTTCTAAATTTAATTTAATTTTCCAAATTTTTTATGGATAGTATAAATATATAGCACAAATAAAACTTTTATGATTGTATATAATGACTAGACCTAGGATATCCAGACACTAAAAAGTCATATAAAATAAATGTTTATAAAAATCATATAAATTATAATTTTTATAACTATTTATATGATTTTTAGTGCCTAAATGTCCTAACTCTACAATGGCATATTGTTGATATGAATACTTTTGAAAATAAAATATGATCGTATAAACTTCACTGATCACTGTGAATGCAATCTGTCATTAAATACAAATATTTAAATTAAAAAATTTGATTTTATATTAAACTTATTTTTATAATGAGTACAGTTCTAAATTACTACCTTAAAAATAAAATGTTTTATGTTGTAATATTTATTCAAACATATTTTAAATAAAATATATCTAAAAAATATTTTCTGTTTCTTGAACCTACAAACTACAAAGTACAGCAGAATTTCTAAATCATAATTCATTTTAAAGTCCAGTTATGTGTACATTTCATATCTTCCTAATCATAAAATCTTATAAATTTATCTACTTTGTATGATATAATCAAAATAAGAGCAAAACACAAGTGTAAAAAATGCCATTTTTTGTGGGATCTTTGACCACACAGAGATGATATCCCTTATCTCTACGTCAAAGCCAGTTTGTGCAGATAGCATTGAGTATAAAGCTGCAGCATTGGTAACTCAAATATGATATGTAACCACATTGGTGTCAATGTAACATAATTTTAAGTTAGAATATTATAGTTTGTAGCTTCTGTCTTTGCTTTTTGTCTTTTCCCACTTCTGGAATCTTCTCTTGTCCTCATTTCTATTTCACTAAACTGTTACTAAACTGAACTGTTAACATGAATATTAAAAAATAACCATTTGTCTAAAATCCAGATTATACTTCTGATATTACATATCAACAGTTGCATGTTCTGTAAGATAACAGCTTAGAAATGGCCACCCTCCAGTTTGCATGTGATAATTCATGAGATTCTTGTGTGATTGTCAAATTGACAAAGTCAAAAATATTCAAATATCACTACTACATACTAAATAATGATTACTCATCATTAAAGAGTGCTTCATGTTGCAAATATGTTTCTCTTACTTGCACTTCTTCCTATAAATTCATCATAAACTTCTCCTAGGTCCAAATTTTCAACCTTGGTCTTGTGCACATTTAAAATAGCTACATCATTCAATAAAACAAATGACAGGTCAATATTGTTGAAGTATGATATCATGCAAATGGTTCTAAATTACAAGGAAATGAATTATTTTGTGAGCCCACAACACCATATAAGTTGATGCCACTAAGTAAGCAATCTTATACTACTGCTTTGTTGAGATTCCAATATATTACATTGTTCATCAAGGACTGATAAGAATTTAGAAATGCCAGAGAACTTTCAACAATTGCTCAAAAAATATAAAAGCTTCTATTTATTGTTAATGACATCTCCATTTTTCATTTTATTCTACGATAAGGAGAAATGTACAGAATCTGTTTCCTGAAATTATAGGCATAGTAAGATATTTAGAATTTTTATTTTACAACAAAGATAAAAACAGTACAAGTTCAAAAATTGATGTCAGCTCTAGGAAGTGATTTTACACAATACAAATCAACCCAGTGCCTACTCAATCAGAGTAAAATATATTCTATTCAATAAAACATACATCATATTTATGCTTTTCCACTAACAATGACCTTCAATTAATTTCAAATGATACAGGACATGCAGCTGAAAATGCATATTCCTTAAAACTATAACTAATACTACTACTAATTCTATAATAATCACATAACTAATGAACTAAATCTTCTACCATAAGCTGAAATTTTTATAAATTATATACAGTAATACCTCGACTTACGCTACCCCAACTTACGCGAACCCGGTTACGCGATTTTCAAATCTCGTGGATTCGTCTTTTGTTTGAGCGGCACGCAGCTCTTGATTACTCACTCCTCCCACACTATTGTTCAGCTTACATGTTTAGATGTGCCGCATGGAATCGACGCATAGTTACAATTTATTTTGTGTTATTTATTTCTGTGTTTGTTATATGTACGGAGACTTGAGAGACTCTATATGGTGATTTCCTGTAACCGTGAATGAATCAAAACACGTGATAAGATTAACGAGCACATTTATTAGCTTACATACATCCGAATTTGGATTTTACACAAATTAAGAAATTATACCCCGACTTACGCGGTTATCGCTCGGTCCCACCTATCGCGTAAGTTCGGGGTATCACTGTATATAAAAAAACACACCTTTTCATACATTTTCAGCACGTTTTTTATAGTTCTAACAAACGTTTTCAGTTTGATTTACAACCTTCAGGTTAGAAGCCATTCCAATTAGAAGGAGTTATTCTGTATTCCAAAATTTTGGAATACAGAATAACTCCTTCTCAGCTTCCTCCTGAACCCATTTTCCAGAAAAATAAAGCCCCAGCCCACTTTGCAGCATAGATGTGAGAATTTTTAGATAAGCTGTTCTCAGGAAGATGGATTGGGAGAGGATCTGAACCACTCTCTTGGCCTCCATGTCCATGCTCCCCAGATCTTACCCCACTGAACTTTTCCCTGTGGAGTTTTGTGAAGGACCAGGCATACTGCACACCTGTGGTGAACAATAGATAATTTGCAACACAAGATTAATCAATCTTGCACCACAAACTATTGCCAATGTCACACTGCAAATGTTGCAGAATACCTAGTTGTAGGTGGTGTAGAGGTTGGACATCTGCCATGCCACTCAGGGTGCATGTATCAAAATTGTTTGAATGTATCATAAAATGTATGAGAGTCTGTAAAACTGTATCAGACAACAACAGTTTTTTCATTAAATTTAGTTTACTTTGAAATATGTGCTCTGTTATAATGGCTGCATTCAGCAGACTCAACAGTTGTAACTGAGCAAATCGTTAGCTGTTACGTAGCAACCTAAATCTGCTGAATGATGAGTGATTTATGCATTGGAACAAAAAGCCTCATTGATTGGTCAGTTTCAGGTAGCATAAATAAAAGACATTACCAAATGAACATCAAAACACCAAACAAAAGAACACTACTGTAGAGGGCGTTTAACTGAAAAATACTCAACAGCTCCGGAACTGTTGGGTCTGCTGAACGTAGCCAATGTTAAACCTACAAGCTGTACACTGTATTTTTAAATGTAATTTTTTGCTACCTGATAGTAAACTATTTATTTTCCAATATATATTAGTATTAGTTCATAAAAGTTATGGTATATATTTTTAATTTAACATTTTAAATTCTTACTTTGTTGAAATATCAACCTTGCTTCCACTTTTCTAACATTTATTACTATATTTACGTTAACTGTTTCATCTTACACTAGATTTAGTGTTATTTTTAATTAATTAATTTAACAAAATGGTAATTATTAATATAAGTTTGGTATGTTTTTACAATATCTCAATATTTAGATACAACAGTGATTTTTAAAGTTATTAGTTGATTTATAGTTTAGTAATTGCTGTATAGGTTTAAAACCCTTTCTATGCCAAAAGTAGTAATGTATACCTATACAACACCATACCTGATTTAGTGTGGTTTGTTTATATTTGTATTTTTGTGAAATCTTTTCAAAATAGCTAAAAACTTTCAATTAATTTTAAAAATAAGCATTCCTTGCCACCAAATTTTGTTTTTATTTATTTTTTTTGCATGCAATATTATTTTTCAAAAATCTTTTATTTTTCTTCTTGTGAAAAAAGATGTTTGGTTTTAGATTTCTGAGGCATATTACTAAACTATATATAAACTTCTTTATCTGTGCTTTTTCTCATGTTTATATGGGATCAGTATTCCCATCTTTAATCTGTTTTCTCCACTTCTCTATCCAGGGTGTCCTCTCTCCTCCATCTCCTCTCTCCCAAATCCTCTGCCACCTTGTCTCTCCATCTCAGCTTTGGTCTTCCCCGATTTCTCCTCTCTATCATTTTCAACTTCCCAATTCTCTTTCCAACATAGTCCCTCACATGTCCAAACCATTTTAATCTACTTTGCTGCACCTTTGTACTTACAGAACCCACTCTGATGGTTCCTCTTAAGTAATCATTCCTAATTCTGTCCTTCTTCATCACATCACATATCCATCTCAGCATTTTCATCTCCACTCTCTCCATCTTCTTTTCCTGGTCTCTTTTAATTGCCCACATCTCAGCACTGAACATTGCAAGTCTTACCACAGTTTTCTTTAATTTTCCTTTCATTTTGCAGCTTATTTTCTTATCACACAGCACTTATCACTCATCTTTCTCCAGTTCAGCCATCAACTCCGAACTCTATGTTGGATTTCTGCATCTATTCCTCCATCACTTGCTACATATGATCCAAGATACTTAAATCATTAACTGTTGTTAACTTTTCACCCTGGAGTTGTATATCACTCTCATCCACTCCAACAGATGCCATATATACTGTCTTTGCTGATCATCATGCATCTCTCTTCCTGTGCTTTTTTCCATTCCTCAGTTTCTCTGTACCTTATTTAATGATGTTTCACAGCACAATGTCATCCACAAACAGCGTAGTCCATGATGCCTTGCTCTTCACATCTTCCATCAATATATCCAACACCAAATCAAATAGAAACAGGCTAATGGCTGAACCCTGGTGCAGTCCAATTCTCACAGTAAATCCTTCTGTCATCCTTTACAAGTCTTGCATACTTTTCTGGTACTCCTTTACCTTCATACATCTCCATACCTTCTGTCTAGGTGCCCTGTCATATGCTTTCTCTAGGTCTATGAATAACATGTGTAGTTCTGCTTGATTTTTCTCTGTACCTTTCCAGCAACTGTTTTAGAGCAAATGTTGCATCTGTTGTTCCTCTTCCCGGCATGAAACTAAACTGTTCCTCACCTATAGCTGTCTTTTGCCTTAACCTTCTTTCCACAATTCTCTCCCAAATCTTCATTGAATGCAACATCAACACCTGTAATTCCCACAAAACTGCACATCTCCTTTTCCTTTATAAATTGGCATCAAAATATTTTTTCTCCATTCATCTGGTATCTTCTCTTGTTGCCACAGCTTTTTCATAAGATTGCATATAATATCAACACCCTTTTTGCCCAAACATCTCCATACCTCAGCTGGGATCTGATCAGCTCCTGTTGCTTTTCCGTTCTTCATTTTTCTAAGTGCCCTTTCAACCTTCTCCACGCTTATATCTTCCACTCTTTCATTTACCTCCCCATCCTCACATAATACTCTTGGATTTTCCTCATTCAGTAGCTTCCTAAAATAATTCTTCCATCTTTCTTTTATCTTCTCTTTGTCTTGTAACACCTTACCATTCTCATCTTTTATCTGTTTTATTGATGTAAAATTGTTTGAAGCCTTGTTCCTCACTTTTGCAATTCTTAGCAGCCTATCCTCATCTTTTCTTTCCAGTTCCTCATAGGCCTTATCCACACCACTTTTGTCTTTGCTATTGCCACACTTTTTGCTTGCCATCTTATACGTTTCTTTATCTTTCTTTATCTTTTCAAATGACATTTCCCATCTTTTCTTCATTTCCTTTACTGAAAATTGCACCTTCTCATTCCACAACCAATCCTCTTTTCCATCAAATGTCCTTTTCTTGATGTTTTCCCCCAATACCTTCTCTCCAACTTTCCTTATAATATGACTATTAAATTCCCACCATTCCTGCACATCTTCCAGTAACTTTATTCTTCCAAGTGCTTTTTTCCTTAAACTTTCTATTCAGGTCCCCCTCTTTCAATTTCCACCATTTCATCCTTTGTTCTTTCTTTCATAGGTATTTCCTAATCTTCATGTCTATTATTATTACCTAATCAACTACTACCAATCTGTGTTGTGCAACTACACTTTCTCTATTAATCAGCTTACAAGTCATCATTCCATTAAGATGTTTCCTGTGATACATAACGTAGTCAATCTAGCTTATCCTATCCCTTCTCTTGTATGTTATAAGCTGATTCTTTTAAGTAAGTGTTGACTATTACCAGGTCAAATGTTACTGTGTATTACTTCATTCTATTGTGAGGATCCGAATCCAGACTTTCCGTGTGTTTACATCATTTGTTCATAACATCACATCGTAACTATAAACTTGATACATAACTGTCAACTTTTACACCTAGGAGCAAAACATGTTACATTCTCAGGCCTGACAACGATGCTTTCTCATCACCTCTTGACCTAATATCTCAATTTAATTGGTTCAACAACAAAAAAATCAAGAAACTAAGGCAGTCGTCACCCCATAATAGAAGAGATCAGTCTCAAGCTCCATATCTTTTTCCATGTGCATTGTGCTTTTCACTGAATTAACTTTGTCATCCATCGGACTTATTAAGTGTTTATTATCTAAATTAATATTGAATCAAAATACAGTGGTGCCTTGTATAACGTACTTAATTCGTTCCAGGTGCACATCCATTAAATGAAAAGTCCATTATACGAAACGCATTTTCCCATAGAAATATATGTTAAAACATATAATTCGTTCCGCAGCATAAAATAACCATACTGTATCATAAAAAAAATGAAAATGGAGTAGTCACCAATTATGCCAGGTAGTCAGATGTTGTAAGGAGGAGGTGGAGGAACACTTTCTTTACACATTCATACAGATACAGACTTTTTACACATTGCAGCAGGTCTCTTTTTATTGTTTTTTAATTAGAGTCAGATTCAGGAGAGACTACCGGAACTTGCAGGGTCATCTCCTCTTGTTTCATCCTTTGTTTTTTGGCAGCTTACTTCTTGAAAAACATGTCCTAGGTGGTCTGTTTCCCTCTCTTCTTCAACACCTGTCCGAAATGACGGGCAAGGGTGTCATTGTAGAGATCATTGATCCTGTTGGCCTCAGCTGTGTTTGGATAATGAGTGTTGGTAAACTCCTGAACCTATCTCCATTTGACAAGGAAGTTTTTGTCAACTTTCACTCCTTCTGATGATGTCTTGCTTTGTTTCAATTGAAATCACCTTTCTGTTTTTTTATAAGCCATGATTTGTACAACACTTGAATAAATGTAAATACCCTGCACTGAGGTGATGTACAGTATGTAATAAACAAGGGAGCAAGCTGAATCCCAATGGAAGCTCTGTACTTCAGATATATTAATAATATATTCTAATAATACTAATATATTCTAAAAATAGTAAATTGTCATTGGCAATGGCAAAAGAGTGGAAACATCATTCACAACTTGTTCGCAGAAATGTTGTTCACCTCACGTAACTGCCGAACGACAAGTCCGTTGTTCACAGCCAGTCCATTGCTCAAGTCACGTAACGGCCAAACAGAAAGTCCATTGTTCGCAACGTCCATTATTTGAGGCATATGTTATACAAGGCACCACTGTACTTGATTGCCTAACTGGACTAACTTCATCGTCAAGAACCTCAAGACCTACTAGTGATTCACTAAAACTCAAAGTATTTATTGCCACACGCAACTACTGTAAACTCTCTCTCTCTTGAGAAATGTGGAACTTTAACCCAATTTTTTTGTCCACTTTAATGTTGGTTTATATATCTAATATCCCTAGAACCAATGTATTTAAAATCTAGTATAATTAAGATCAAAATGTTGTATGTCCTGTATGGCCTATCATTACCCATTAAACAGTTGTTACATTAACTCATCTCTGCGCAAGTCACTTCCAGTGCGCTGTCTCTCCCTCCATCCCGAATTCATTCACTCACACATGCGATCGTTCATGCGAGAACATAACAGTTTCTGTGTCTGTCCGTAAAGACACAGTGACGTCAGTCCTGACGAACCTTTTCATTGCAATCTTTGCCAACACAATGTTGACTCCAGTCCCGTGGTGCCGAAGTATAGGGGGGCCCTTCAGCATTGTCACACTATCTCACTCTCTATTTCTCTCATCTGTACTCCATCCATTATGCACTCTTCTTTCCTTTCCTTTACATCTTCCCACATGTCCATTTAAATCACCCCAATGATCAACCTCTAACTCTCTGGTATTTCCTTTTTCGCTATTTCTGGTACTTCCTCTCTGATATTATAATTTTATCTAATTCTGCCCAAAAGTTATCCTTTTCTTCTTCCTCACAACCTGTTTAGGGAACATACAAACATACTATTGCAACAAAATTTTCTATCTCCAGCTTAATATTCATAATCTTATCACTTCTTCTTATTACCTCACACACCATTTCTTAACTCGTTGTCAATTATAATACCTACTCCATTCCTTGCTTTACCTCTTTCCACCTAGTTTTCTGCAGGCATAAGATCCTGTTGCATCAAGTCCACTAAATCTTTGCTCTTTCCAGTTATTGTCCCAATGTTTAATGTTCCCATTCTGATATTAAATGATAATTACATACCTTTATAAACTTTAAAATTTCAGTGAATAACTTTATTGTATTATTGATGTAATACTTTTGATGTAATACTAAAATTGTCTTTAGGTCCTTTAACATTCCAATTTTGGAATTGTAAGGTAGCCAACCCAGTGGAGATTTGGGACTGGAAAACCCACTCCGCAGCACTAGTGTAAGGTTGCCATCTTTTAGGTGGGATCAGTTAATCCCATGTCAGGATAAACCTAAGGGAAGTTTGCATGTGTGCTGTGGCAGAGGAGACAAATAATGACAACTGTTTTACAAAAGAAAGCCATTTATTTGATAACATTTATGCTTACATCGATAATTGTCAGTTCCACTTCTCTATAGTCTTTCAGAGAGGTGAAAACTTCAGCTTCGGTCATAGCCCTGGGGCAGACAAGATAGGATCGTTGCACGTTGCAGATGATTGCAGAGATGCTGTGGCATCCTAAGTTGTCAGTGGTGACACAACACAATAAAGAGCACAATTTTGCTTGATCCAGAGAAAGACTCTCTTTTGACCTTGAATTTCTGATTTTTATAGTTTTTCTCTTACTATTCATATTATGATTGGCCCCTCATCCCCTTCCTCACTTCCCAATTGGTCTCTCCTTTGTTTTGGGCAAAACCGAGACTGACTCAGGTCATGGGAAAGGTCTGATTCCGGGTGTTTATTCGACGCCTTTTTGTCAATTGTGCTTGGGAATTGTTCATAAAACCACAAGACTCATGCTCATAATTTAGCCCATTATTTGTAATTTCTGTTATCTGGAAACTTTAACAATCATATGTGATGTTTTTCTATCTCTTAAATCTTCCCTCCTTTTCTGAAATTGTTTCCCTAGATTGATTATTTAGGAGTGCTTGAGTCAGAGTTCTACCTGTTTATGAGCACTTGTGTCAAAGTTCTAACTTTTCGGTTTGACACTGAGAGATCGTTTATCCATGTTGGAGTCATCCAGGACTCGTCATTTACATTTTGTGCCGCGTTGTTTAGATAAAGAGATTTTTCTTT